AGAGCATTCAGTAGAAATACAGAATCTTTGAACCTTATACATGACATACAATGGGCCAATCATGAAATAAAAAGAGAGAACAAGAACAAGAACAAAAAACAAAACTCAAAACACAGTGATGCTAAATCAAAGTGGTGTAAGAGGCAGGACCAGGGGCTGGGTCTTGCCCACAGAAAAACACAGAGTACAGCCCAAATGGGTCATTAAATATAACATTCTAACAATCTTTCTATTTGTATTCAAGATGAAACTTAAGGAAAACTCTCAATTTGAAAAATACATTCTACATACCACTAAGAATTTCTTTCTTCAACCCAGAATCTGATGTAAAACCATCAGGTGTTTGTAGACCTTTGACAAGAGCTTGTGTAAATGCTGGAAGTGTGGGGTAGAGAAGTGTCTTAGCCAAGTTCCTGTTGTATTCCCCCATCATACAGATTAAGTTAGCTAGTGTGCTAAATATTTCTACTGCTCTGCCTCTTGTTCGAATTCCATATTTCTGAAGAAAAAGAAAATAATCATTCATGCTGAAAGAGAAAATTAAAATTACAATTATGTTAATAAATCATACTTAACAAATTATTCATGTAGAATAGACATGTACAGCAGAATAAAAAATAATTAAATGAATAAGAAACAATTAAACTGTTAAGAAAGAGGACTTTGCAGGAGAGTATTAGGATGGCTGTGACACAGAAGTACTGCAAGTTGACAAGGAGTGTGCACCAAAGACAAGAAAGTTTAAAGCATTTTTTATCAAAAAGTCATGCAGTACTTTTGACATACAGAGATAAATGGAAGGCCAAGAACTAGGAAAAAAGGCTGATAACAAGGTGGAAGAACATTTAGGATGAACAGAATATCAGCATGGAGAAGAGTGTGTGTGCACCACAATCATACTGTTAAAGATTTGAGTAAAAGGTTAAGTGTGATTATCTCCCAAACTATGGTATACAGGAGAGAGACAATTTACAAATATCCAAATAAACATCCGCACTTATAAATGGGGAGCACTGAAACTAGTCAACTTCTTATGAATGTCGTCTGTGGATACAATCACCCCTGTAAATTCTTTGGCTTCAATACTTGATGATTTCAATAATTCAACATTTTACTGAAGAACTAGTGAATCAATTCAATTTCCAATGTTTTCCTGACTTGATGACTTTCCCACACCTAAAGCTTTTTAGTCAGGTTATTATTTCTTATGAATGTCAATATTAACCAAACTAAACTGATAAAAGTAGGTCTCCTACTTAGTGTGCTAATGCACTCCTGAAAATTTTTCCAAATTTGAGTGTTGAGAACACAGAACCTATTTTCCCACAGACACCCATGTAGTTAGTAATCGGAGATGATTTCATGGGCCATAATATTCCTGACCTAATTTCAATGATTTTTCCAAAACAAAAAAAAAAAATTACCCAATGTTTCACCTTCAGTACTGTCCCTTTTTTTACAAATAGTATTAAAAATCATTTACTTAAATAATGTAAATACATTAAGTAACCAGAACAGAGCTACAAAACAGTATACTGTACAGATGTGCAGAGGCAGGCAGCAGATGAACTGTCTTCCTCTCTGGTGCTTTCACTGCACTATTCACTTCCACCCTTGCACATCGTATCAAACACAAGATTATACACATGCTCTCTCTCCATTTCCTCACACCTGTGGTTGAGTGTTGAGTAAGAGGAATGGGGTGACAGCAGCTGGACTGCCTCCTCTCTATTTCCCCCCACACTCTTCAGCTGTATCTAACACAAAACATACTCTCCACTTCCTCAATGTTGTGGATTCATATGATGTGTAAGGAATGGGGGCAATGTGTGTAGGGAAGAGCAGCAGCTACTCTCTCCCTATCTTTTGCTCTTCTATTCACCACCACCCTCTCTTGAATCCAACTCAAGATTTTATGTATGCTTAAGACTCCTTCAATGTTATCTAACAAAAATCATGAGGGGAAAAAGCAGTGGTGCACTGAGGATCTGTGAGACAAAACTTTACCAGAAAGCAAAGGGGGGAAGTAGAGATAATTTTATACCAACCTTTTGTATGGGTGGAGGCATGGGTGGGGGATTTCAACAAAAAAGGCTGAGGCATGGAGTTTTTTGTCTGAGGGCAATTTTGGGGGTTTGAATATAATGCAGAAATCCATATTTGAAGTTAGGAGGAGGTGCGGGATCCCAAAACATTATCCAAGGACTGGGGGGGTTTTGAATGGTCGGGACATGTAGAAGGATGGAAAAAATAGAATGACTTCAAAGGGGTTTAAAAATCGAGTGAGGTAGGGTGGGTTTAGAAAGGGTTTGGGAGGGGGGGGGGTTAAGGTTTTTTGTTGCGGGGGGCGGGATTTTCCAGCAAGCTGTGGACGGTTAATAGAAGCAAATGGAGACAAAGATTTTTAGGACTTGATGTGCTTTGGGGGTTAATTAAGGAACATTTATAAAGGGTTTCAGGTTACCAAAGAACAAAATATTTTAACAAACATTTAAACCAATCCTCCCAAAAAAACATTCTCCCCCATGCATAAAAACACACTAAGTTTTGGAAAAAAATATTATTTTGCATAAAAAAGTAAAAAATTAACAAATTCTTTACTAATTTTTACCACTACCTATAAACAGACCTGGTAAGGAAGGGAAGGGAAAATGATGGGAAAAGACGAAAAGGAAGAATGATAAGTGAAGATAAGAAAGAATGACTTGGGTGTTATGAAAAGAAAAAAGGGGGATGAATTTGGGTCTAAGTAAAACGAAGCTGAAGGGGGGTTTGGGGATTTTTAGTGGGAAAATAAATCATTAAACGAGGTTCTAATAGTTAAACAAGGAAGGGTAGCAATAAGTAGAAGGATAAATTATGGGGAGGAAAGAGGAATACAATTAAAAATTCAAAGGGTTTGCAAGAAAAAAAAGGCTGGATTTGAAAAATGGGGTTTAAAAGTAAGTGTTTTTCCACCTGAAAAACAAAAAGGGAGAGGGGAAAAGTGATTTGGGGAAAAGTTTATGCTGGGAATTTACCAAGGAGGAGTACTTTTGGGTTGGGGGCAAAAATTCAAAATTTTTTTTTTTTTTTTAAATTACACACGGCCGATTCCCCCAAGGCAGGGTGGGCCCAAAAAGAAAAAATTTTTACCATATTCACCCATCACTGCCTTTCCAGAAGGGTGCTTTTCACTAAGTTTTTTTTAAAATGCAAATTAACACCCCTCCTTCGAGTGCAGCACTGTACTCCCATCTCCAGGCTCGACCAGCCCGCCATTTCCCTGACCCCTTTATAAAAGTACTTTTGCTCACACTCCAACAGCAGTCAAGTATTAAAAACCATTGTCCCATTTACTCCCCCTCAAACACGCCACATGCCGCGGAAGTCCAACACCTCGCCCCAAAACCTCCTTTACCCCCCCCCCCAACCTTTTTCCCAGGGCCAAACCCCACCCCCCCTTTCCCTTCCACTACAACGATATACTCTTTTAAGTTATTTTTTTTCCTCCCTTCTCTCTACATGTCCAACCACCTCAAAACCCTTCCCCACCCTCTGGACAACTTTTTTTTTAATCCCCCACCTCCCCTACTTTTCCAACACAATTCTCTGCATTATATTCACACCACACCTTGCTCTCAAAATGACATCTCCATGCCTCCTGCCTTCTCCTCGCTCAACATTCACACCCATGCTTCACACCCATATAAGAGCACGGGAAAAAACTTTACTCTCAAAAAACCCCCTTTTTGTCTCCAAGGACAAATTTTCTTTGTCTCCCACATACCCTAATTTGCCCCACTCACCCTTTTCCCTGAATTTGGGAAAAAAAATTATTGTGAAGAAAGTAGTGGGTTAAATCTGGGGGGCCAGGGGTAAATGAAAAGGGGGGGGGGGCCTTTATTTAAACTATGTGTAGCAAGGGGTTTTTGGTAAAATACAAAATTTTAAGAAAAAGAGGATAATACACAAGATATGATACAGAACATAATGAAAAAAGTTTGTAGATCAGTTTTGGTGGATAATAGGTTGAGGGGTAGGCTTCAAGATGTGCATGTTTACAAAAGGGCCCAACGATATATTGGATCTTTATTTAGGTGTAGCTCCCAGTTAGAGTAAGAGATAGTTTGGGGGAAAAAAAAAAAAAAAGGGAAAAAGGGCAACACAAGTAAAAGCCTCTCCTCATTTAACGACGAATTCCCCCTTCCTAAGACCACATTTATTAAATAAATTTTCATCACTAAGTGGGGAGCAACATAAGGGTAGGGGGTTTTGGGTGTCAACCACCCTCTGATTTTGGGTTTTAGTGTCTCCTTTGGCAACCTTTTTTATAACACTTCTGGTAAATTTTTAAAATGTTTATCAGTAGTAAACTGCACTTTTTCTCCCTAAAAACCCCTCGCGGGGGTTAGGGGAAAAAGACCTCGCGAAGTTGAAAAAATCGCAAAATTTTTGGGTGCCCCCCAATGTTTCCTGGTGTCTCCCTCTATTTCTTGCTCCTCCTGTCCTCTTCAATACTTCAGAGAAACTGGTCGATCCCCTTTTTTACGATTTGGGGGAGCACAAAAAAAATTTTGGGCTTGCCGACAAAAAACAATCCCTTTTTCTGCCCACGTCAAGATCATAGCCATCCAAATTGACTGGTCTTCTGCTAAAACTGTCTTCCCTACTTCCAACTCAAAACACCCGCCGCTATTTTAAAATCCTCTCAATACAAAATTTTTCCCCTTGTAGGGAATCTTAGCCGGGCTTCGCCCTCTGTAGATGCCTTCCCCTATCCCACTACATTGAAAAATTTCTCCAAACTTCAGAAAAACCCCGTGATTTTACCCCTGACTCCTAATTTTTTTTTTTTTTTTTTTTTTCCCCCCTTTTCCCCCTTTCCCCTCCTCCCTTTTTTCTCCTTTTGGGTTTCTTTCTTCTGTCCCCCGTGTTTTTTTTTCCTTTTTCATTTTTTTCCACCATTTCCCCCCTTTTCCAACGTTTCCTCTGTGCGCTTGCTCTCCCTCTGTGGAAATAGCTCCTCTTGCAGGCCCCCCTTTCCTTTGTTTTTTGATTGGGCTTTTTTCCTCCCTTTATTTACAAACCCCTACACTACTATACTACTACTACTACTACTACAAAACTACTCCCCACTACTACTACTACTCCCTACCATTTACAAACTACTACTAATACTACTACTACTCCCCCTTTTACTTACTACTAAACTATACTACAACTACTACTACTACTACAACTCTAAAACTACTACTATTTACTACAACTACTACAACAAACTCCCTACTACTACTACTACTACTTACTACACTACAAAACAACACTACTACTACAAAAAAACTACTACAAACTACTACTACTACTACAACTAACTACTACTACTAAACATACTCCTACAACTACAACTCCCTACTACTCCTACAATTAATACTACTACACAACTACAACTAAACTACTAAACTACTAACTATTTACTACTACTACTACTACTAACAAATACACAAAAAAACCTACAAC